TGTGGCAAGGATATGGAGGGACAGCTGTGCTTAATCTGTCACGTGAGCTAGCGTTATCTTTGCCTTTGTGCTGTGTCTTACAGAAATTAGTTTTTAGTGATAGAGACTTGGTTTTTATTGTCTTTTTACAAGTGAGGAAATATCCATCAAGATAACTTGGATTTAAGTACTTCATTTTTCTAGGTATGACCAAATTTGATCATGTTTTCTTTTTTTCCTTAATTTTTAAGTGAATCCTAATCAGTGAGTGCTTACGTTGAAGTCATTCATGTTTGTTTTCAGTATTTTATGTATCTTTGTCTTGCTCCTACGTGATCATTAACATAGAGTAGACACTTAATATTCGGTTCCCATTCTTGCTCTCTTCCCCCTTTTTTCCTCTTTTGTATTCTCCAGACTTCCCTCTTGATTACTCACTTGATTAATTGCGGTTTCTATATTTAATGTAACAATGTATACTGTTGATATATGTGTATCAGTGTGATCTAAATTTATCCTTACCTCTGTAGGCAAGAAATAATGTAACAAGTCAAACTTTGGTATTCTTGAAGCCCTCAGCCTCTGTAAAGATGACCAGTTAAATTGATGGGGAGATTAATAAGACTTTCTTAAAATTTCCTCACATTAAGCTACAGAGTAAACTGAGCTTTAATTGAAGTTCGGTAGTAGATTACTTCCTAATTCATAGCTTTAGTCCAAATAGCCTTCTCTGAAATAAAAAAACAGAAAACATTGAAAGAAGCAGAGGTTTATGTCATGAAAATCAAAATTTCATGATTATGAAACTATAATAGCTATGGCATAGTTATTTCTGTGTATCCCTACCTTTTTTTTATCAGCCAAATGGGAATTATCAAATTATGTTCAAGGATAAGGTCTAAATTCTGACCGGAATTTAATTGGAGACTTAGATCAAAGTGAAAAAATTTTTAAAGGTAAAGTCTTTGAACAAATGGCTAAGTTTTCTGAACCAGGTACTTAGTAAAATTAACCATTTGTGGAAGCGAAGCAACTGCTTGCTTTTCTATGCATGACCTTTTTTTCTCCCACCAGCCGTTGCCATCATGTGTTCCAAAAATACTAGTAATGAACAATACTTAGGTTATGTCTTCCATTTTTCAAACAGTAAAACAAATCTTATGTTCCTATTGGAATAAATGTTACATTTATAAATGCAGTTTTTTCCTTGCTATGCATTTTTGTGAAATAACAATTTGTGTGAAATTAAAATATAATCATTCTGAAATGAATCAGCAATGTAAAATGAAGGAATCAGATTATAAAATCAAATGAGGTAAGGCTTAGAAGATGGAGGAGGATAGTTAAGCATTCATATGTGGATTTTTAATTTCATTCTTTGGAAAGGAATTCTCAGTGAAAAGAAGATCTTCATATCAATCATAAAATTTGGCATTTTAGAACTCAGTAATTATATCCAGACCAGCAAACTTCTTAGAACTTGGGGCCCCAGAATGATCAGGTGAAGGTAAATGTGTTAAGGTATTGGTCCTCTTCAGATTGAGAGCATAAGGAAGAGTTTTGACATCACAGGCTATTTTGACTTAAAGCATGAACTTGAAAGTAGTTTCATTGTTCAGAGTTTAATTATTCATTCCCTTGCAGCCTCTCCCTCTCACTGGCAGAACTTACTTCCTTGCTTGCTCATTCTGTTACTATGCATCAAAGAGGCATTGTGTACCCAAAGTTGTTAAGCTACTTGGAAGAAAGGTACTTACAAGAACAGGGTAATTATTAGTCATAATAAACTGTCTTTGTAGAGATACATGGGTAACTCCCTTATATATTAGTAGCAGTGAGCAACTAGATAGCTTCCCAACAAGCTGATTAGATTTGTTCTAAATGAAGGACTTCTGCCTCATAGTCTAGGTCTAATGTTTATAGCAGCCTAACAGAGTCTGTTTTGAAGATAGGATAACAAAATTTAGGACAGATCAATGTGTGTCCATAAATCTCTAAGATATGAATCAGCAAAGCAAAACAGTCATGAAACTTGTAGGGATTTTTGGTAGAACGCAGCAATTCAATTCAGTACGTATGAGAGACAGACTAAAAAGAACTAGCTGGCAGGGGGTTCAGTTCAGTTCAGTCGCTCAGTCGTGTCTGGCTCTTTGCAACCCCATGAAGCACAGCACGCCAGGCCTACGTGTCCATCACCAACTCCCGGAGTTTTCTCAAACTCAAGCCCATCGAGTCAGTGATGCCATCCAGCCATCTCATCCTCCGTCGTCCCCTTCTCCTCCTGCCCCCAATCCCTCCCAGCATCAGGGTCTTTTCCAATGAGTCAACTCTTTGCATGAGGTGGCCAAAGTATTGGAGTTTCAGCTTCAGCATCAGTCCTTCCAATGAACACCCAGGACTGATCTCCTTTAGGATGGACTGGTTGGGTCTTCTTGCAGTCCAAGGGACTAAAGACAGTTCAAAAGCATCAATTCTTCAACGCTCAGCTTTCTTCACAGTCCAACTCTCACATCCATACATGACCACTGGAAAAACCATAGCCTTGACTAGACAGACCTTAGTTGGCAAAGTAATGTCTTTGCTTTTTAATATGCCATCTAGGTTGGGCATAACTTTCCTTCCAAGGAGTAAGCGTCTTTTAATTTCATGGCTGCAGTCACCATCTGCAGTGATTTTAGAGCCCGAAAAATAAAGTCTGACACTGTTTCCACTGTTTTCCCATCTATTTCCCATGAAGTGATGGGACCAGATGCCATGATCTTCAGTTTTCTGAATGTTGAGCTTGAAGCCAGCTTTTTCACTCTTTCACTTTCATCAAGAGGCTTTTTAGTTCCTCTTCACTTTCTTCCATAAGGGTGGAGTCATCTGCATATCTGAGGTTATTGATATTTCTCCCAGCAATCTTGATTCCAGCTTGTGCTTCTTCCAGCCCAGCACTTCTCATGATGTACTCTGCATATAAGTTAAATAAGCAGGGTGACAATATACAGCCTTGATGAGTTATAAACCAATCCATTGTTCCATGTCCAATTCTAACTTGCTTCCTGACCTGCATATAGGCAGGGGTTTAGGCCTAATCAAATACACTATAGAGTTGCTAGATTTAGTTGTCTAAATAGCAACACTGTCATTTTTCAAAAATAGTTACTAACAGCAAATAAGGACAGGGTCTCTTGATTTTAGAAAGTGTTACTTTGAAAAACTTACTGCTGCTGCTTAGTCCCTTCAGTCTGTCCATTATTTTTTGGTTCACCTCCCCTTGTCTTCGTAACCATTGCCACTATTTTAGCTCAGACCTGGCATAGAGTAGCCTACCCTAAATATCCATCAAATAAATGAGTATATATAAAACTGTGTAGTGACATAGCTTACTCTGGCTTTAATCTTGCCCCTTCTAATCCATCTAACATCCTTCAAGGTGATTTTACTAAAATGTGAGACTGATCTTACTTGAAATGCTTTAAAAGAATCCATGCTCCTAGAGTGGCATAAAGGAAGGAACTCTGTGACTTGGTGGCTTCTCCCTTTTTTCCAAAGATCCAGTTGCTTTTGCTTCCACCCATATTACTGCTTTCAGTTCTCCAAACTTGTTCTGTCAGACCTTTCTTTTGTATCATCTCTTCATAGAATATTCCTTCTGAATGCATCCTTCGGTTCAAGTGTTCTTTTCTCTCTCAAGCTTTCTCTGGTGCTCTTCCAGAAGTCTGTTGTTATTTAAACTCCATGTACCCTTTACCCAGTTCTATTAATATCATAGCAGTTTGTTATAATTGTTTAGAATCTCCACACCCTGCTAGAATGTGAGCCCTTGAAGGGCCGTGTTTAACTTGTATTGTCTCTCAGATAAATGCATAGTCCCTGTATTAATTCTCAGGGCATAGTAAGTGCTCAAGTAAATGTTTTAATTACTTAGGTCTCTTCTCTCTTTGTTGTAAGTAGGAAACTGCAAAGTAGCTCCTGAACTTTAATTGTGAAGAGAAGTAAAGATGATTTTTTTTAGTTAAAAGCTAGGAAAATGGTAATGGTTGTGCCCAAGAGCAAAACCACTCTATTTGGGGGTGGAGGTGGATGAATAATTGAACATCAATTCTATCTTTCCTAGTACTCTTTGTCCATTGCAGATAAAAGCCTCCTCAAAAAAAAGTGTTCAGTTGTGTTGATCAAATTGAAAATTCCTGTCCAACCTCTGGTATTTGGTTATAAATTCTTATTTTTCAGGTTAAACTTGCCTTTCCATAGCATAATAAGAAGATAACTGTACGGGTACTTTTGCTTCATTACATTAGAAAAAAGAACCTTTCCATTGCAAACTTTTCTAAACTGATCAGCAGCCCTATTAATAGGATAAAATTTCAGGACTAGATTCTGGTATCTCATTTCAAAAGAATAGGCATGGTTCCACAAATAATGAATGGAGATCATAAATGCTTACCAATAGGCAGCAACAGTCCTAGGGACTAAACATCCCAAAATGGCTTTGATAAAAAAGTACATGTTTGTCTCTGTACAGAAGGATCCTTAGTCTGAATTCTTAATAGTTTACAATCAACAGATGATATTGTTGATATTCATTTTTATAAAGTTGAATCTAGTAATGTGTTGACCAGTCCCTTCCACAATGCAAGCAATTTTATAATCTTCAGGCAGGTTTGGCACTGTTAAAAATCAATTCTAAGATTTGTAACATTTTTATAAGGTGATACATTCTGTTATACAGATCCTGACAAATTCTTTTCCTTCTTTTCCAAACTGCTTTGTGAAACTGCTACATGAAAACTGGTAGAAATATCACACATTTAATTCAAGGCAGACTTAAGGTTGGTCACCCATTTCTAACAACTTAATTGATTTTTCATTGAAGACAAATTCTTAATGCCCACGGTCATACTCATGGCTACCAAGCCTTTAAAAAAAAAAAAAAACTTAAAAAAATTAGCTTCTCTACTACAGGCACGTTAAAATGTTGCATGTCAGTAGTTCCCAAGCTAGTTTGACTACTATAATTATCTGGGAAGCTCACTAACTATACATTCCAGGACTCCACCCGAGTTCCCCCAAACAGATTATTATGTATCATTCGTAATTTTCTTAGAATGTAGCAATTCCATAAAAACCACAGTTGCTGAAGTCCTTAGTGTGACCCAGGAGTCTGCATTTTGCAGAAACTTCTCATGCTCAGGCACTTGCCATGCAGGTGCCAGTTTGATAAACACATGGAAAGAAGCATTCCACTAAAATGTGTCTATAAAGCTACAGTGCCAACAGTTGTTCCCCATTCCCTATTTCTTTTTTGGAGAGCTTTATTGTACCTTCAACCTAAGAAGCCTGGAGGTACTATTGGCATGAACCATTTAGTTTCTTCTTGGAGATTTCTTCAGCATAGCGACATAATTTGTTTCCTAAAAAAATCATAATGTTCTGATGGACTTTTTTCTGTAGTAGATAAGGGTCAAGTCTTGTTAGCCTGGAATCAGTCTGTCTTTTAGGAGTGCTTAGGTTTTATGTGAAAAATACCTTATTTATATACTCTTTTAATATACAGGAGCATTTTAAATGGAGAGGAGCTATCAGCTGTTATTTTAAACATAGTGACATTTCATCCTGCTACTTTGACAACTAACTGTTCAGAGATATTTAGACAATGATCTTTCAACCAAGGTTACTGTTTTTTCTTAAAGGTAAAAGCAGGAACTTGAAATCCCAGAAGTGCAACTCAAGAGCAGAAAGAAGCATCCTTTCATTTAATATTAGTAACTTAAGAGTAGTAGATTTTAAGAACTTTAGATATCATGAGTTAGGACTTAAGGACCCACTTCAACATAAAAAATCCAGCCCCAATACCAGTAAATATTCTCATCATGTAATTCCACATGTATCATGTTCACCAGGCAGCTTTATGCACACTATTAGACTTCCTGTATAATAACCTCCTTGAAGGAAATTACTGGCTAAAGAGATAATAATGTGTCTTTTCTTCATAAACTGATAAATGAACTTTTTTTCAAATACACCTGCTCCTTGGTTACTCTGTCTTCAGTCCAAAAGATACCAATTTGCTTATTAACAAGAACAGGTTTTTTGATCTTACATTTAGATTGTTAAATTAGTATTCTTTTGACTTAAGTTATTTATAAATGCCAAATATAAAGAACTACAAATGAGTTCAGCAAATCCATAATACAGCATATGGGGATATATATATATATGAAAATATAGTAAATAGTATACCAAGAGTTTATGCTTCCATCAAGCTTCCATTGTGTGTGGGTGTGTGTAAGGGAAAGAGGGAGGCTGTTTCTGAGAATGCTGACATATCTTTTAGTCTTGATATGGTCACCATGTTGTCCAGAGGATTAATCTGGAATAGAAAATGTAAATTTAACTTACTCTAGATCAGAATTAAGCTCAAGGTGGTCTTTGCCTGCTGATTGTGCCAAACTAATTGTCTTGGCAGTGTTTCAATGGATACTGGGTAGGGACAGTGGGAGTTGCATTCATAGGCATCACTGTTTAGATGATGAGGCATTTGGCTATCTTAAAGAGTCATAGTTACTCCTTATCTTACCCTCACTTATTTCTTTTTGATTTGTAATTAACTTTTATTGGAATCTAGTTGATTTGCAATATATTAGTTTCAGGTGTACTACAAAGTGAATCAGTTGTAAATACACATATATCAATCTTTTTAAAATTCTTTCCACATACAGGTCATTACAGAGTGTTGAATAGAATGCCGTGATCTTCATTATCTATTTCCTATAAAGTAGTGTGTATATCTCACTTAATTGAATTTTTAACTTTCTTTTCCCCCAAATTAAGGCATAGATTTGCCTCAGATGGGAAACCTAAGTGGTCATGTCATTAATTATGGGATTCTTCAACTTGAAAAGCAAGATGACATAAATGCATTTAGAATGTATGGATATTTTGTGGGGTGAGAAGGAAAGAAAATTTTTTTCAGATGAGTATATTCCAACACATCCTGCCTAATAAATTCAAGTCTGAAGGGACAAATGGAGTGTGGAATTGAGTCCTTCCAACATTCCACTATGTTGAGCATTATTCCAGTTCAAAGAGGCAGTGAGGGAATTTGTGAGTTGCTACAGTTAAAAGGAATTTGCCATACAAGCACCCAAGGGCAGAGAGAAGGATGGAGTTACTGGTCTTAAGAATATGACTGAGTTTACAAAAGTGCCAATTACATGAACAAGAACACATTGTTAAATTCCTCTCAAACATTGTATATGAGAGTAGGTACATCTGTGGCCTGTCACAGTGGTCAGTCTTGCTCCATGCAGCATAAGCATAGCAGATGTTAGCAGAGATTGATAGAATTCAGATTAGTCTAAAAACGTCCAATATACAGTGTTACCTCTCCCTGCCTCTTTATGCATGCATTAGTTTGCCCAGCAAGTGACCGACTTCTGTTTAAACAGCCTCAGTGATACTGGACATCTCTGTGGTCAGCTTTTTTCCTCTGCACCTCTGGAACTGAATACATTATTCCAAATTGGTTCTGTCCCACAAAACATAATGAGTAAAATGAGGAACTGGATAGGTAGGTGGCAAACAGCAAAAGTTATTTGGACATGTAACTCACTTGTAAGTAGACTAACCAAGTAAGCAAGAACTACTGGAGAAATTTAATCTCAATTTTTTTTTAATGTTATTTTAAAATCTTTCAGTTCAGTTCAGTTGCTCAGTTGTGTCTGACTCTTTGCGACCCCATGAATTGCAGCACGCCAGGCCTCCCTGTCCGTCACCAACTCCCAGAGTCCACTCAAACTCATGTCCATCAAGTCTGTGATGCCATCCAGCCATCTCATCCTCTGTCTTTGGGAATATTCAAAAAATAACTTCTATTATGTTACTAGAATTACAGCAAGTTTCAGAAGTTATTTGAGATAAAAGATATTACTTGTAAAACTAAAATTATACACATAGTATATAACTGTACACATTACAATAAACTTAAATCTGTTTGAGTTATTTCTTCATAATCATTGAATTTCTTTTTCCCTAAAGTGTGAGTATGTTTTAATACATGCTATATTAATTGACCAAACAAGCACTTGGTGATATTTTCAGGTGCCAGAAAGCATTATGATGAAGACCATGTTGAAATAAATATTCAGCCAGCACTTGTAAGTTACTGTGACCATACATGCTTGCATGAAGTTGAGGTTTATCTACCCTTTATCCCATTAAGGACTAGAATAAGACTAGGCAAACTATAACCAGCACTGCCTGTGTCTTTATAGCTGAGGAGTTAAGAACATTGTTTATATTTCTGAAGTGTTATTGTGGGGGTGGGGACACCCTATTTGACTGAGACTGTGGTTTGAAAAGCCTAAAATATTTCCTTTGTGACCCCCCTATAGAGAAGAAAAAAAGAAAAGATTGTGGATTCCCGAACTAGAGCAGTTAAAGTATGCTGAACTTAAGACTTCTGAAAACAAATAATGCTCAAATGGTAACCGGTAAGCCAGAGAGCCTGCTGGTCATCAAGGGATCAGTTGGTACACAGAAAAGGAAGCCAGGTTAGCCAGGAGGTCAGACTACACATACCAAGAAATGGCTAAGGAATAGGCAAATAATTATATACCCTGTGTCTGAGCCAGTAGATGGAATAATATGCTATGATTAAAATGAATTTATAATAACATTTAAAAAGTTCTTAATATATTTATCAGTATAATGCTTTATGCCCTCTACCTTAGTGGCGGACAGGGAGTGTGCACATGGAGTGCGCACCCCTCGCGTAGGGGGGCTACTTAGTCCTCTGCTGAGTGCTGCGCAGCTGGTCAGACAGCAGCGTTCTCTGAAGTGTCATGTTGTTGTTGTTTAGTCAGTCGAGTCTGACTGTTGCAGCCCTGTGGTCTGCAGCACACTGGACTCCTCTGTCCATGGGATTTCCCAGGGAAGAACACTGGAGTGGGTTGCCATTTCCTTGTCCAGGGGGTCTTCCCGCCTCAGGGATTAGACCTGCATCTCCTTCATTGCAGGCAGATTCTTGACCGCTGAGCCACCAGAGAAGCATAGTGTTGGCACTGCCCGTATTTTAAAGAGAAACAAGCTAATGCGTTAAGGAAATCGTGCGTCAGGGCCTGAATCATGCTCAGTATTCAAAAATAATTAATTAATGGGATAGGTGACATTAATAAATGGAAAACAATTATATGTCTTCTCATTAGGAAAGTAACCTTCAAATATGGCACTAACCAAGTAAAAGTTTTAGTGCAGAGGAACCACAGATTACTGTGAATACTTTATTACTTGACAGACTACTAATAAAGTTAATTGAAGTTTAATAAGCATTGTCAAGATTTTCTTTTGAAATGATAGACTCTTCAGTGAAGTGTTGGCACTTTATAAAGCAATTAACAAAGCTGTATTGAACCTAAAAATTGGTCACCAATTCTTGTACATCCTATGTGTAATTGCCTTCCTTTGGGCAGCCTCTGACATATTAAAATTTAAGACAGAACTGTGCACTTAATCACATTCACCAATAAGAGAATTTACTTCATGAGGCATTAATACATAATATATACTGACAGTTTCACAGGGGGGACTGAGTAAGGAGTTGAAACTGCAAAAATTACCCTATAAGATTTTCTTCTAATTGTAAAATACATGCATGAGGTCTGTTATCTTAAATTTTTAAAGTGTACAGTACCGTAATATTTCTCCTAAGCTTTTTTTCTTTCTGCTGCTTATTTTCCAGGTGCCCTGTCTTTCTAAAAATGTCTTCCTCTAAGTCATCTTTCATTTTGCAGAATAATTTAGCACTTGTTGGCAATATACAGACTTAGCAAGTATATTCTCATACTTGTTTAGGAAGTAGCAAATATCATATTGCATGTTCTTCTACCTTGTGGCACTGATCTTAGTACAAGGTCCCACTGGGTTGAGAGGACTGGTAGTATCAAGAACGCTGTAGCCGCTTGTCACAGATGGACACAGCTATAAAAGCAGCATCTGTCTGATATCTTTGAGAAGTGTCTCACTGGATTTACCTTTTTTTTTTTTTTTTTTTTTTTTTTTTTTTTGCAAAGAGAGACAGATGTTTATTTCTTCTAAGGGCCCAGAAGTGAGACAGCTTGAATACAGTGTTTATAGTCACTAGCTAGTCACTTTTATTTATTTTTTTTTCCCATTTATTTTTTATTAGTTGTAGGCTAATTACTTTACAATATTGTAGTGGTTTTTGTCATACATTGAAATGAATCAGCCATGGATTTACATGTATTCCCCATCCTGATCCCCCCCTCCCACCTCCCTCTCTACCTGATCCCTCTGGGTCTTCCCAGTGCACCACTAATTTTACCAAGTATTTGGCAAGGTGTGACTGTGGTACAGGACCTTTTATTTCACAACTTAATTCAGGTCCTTGGCCTGCAAAGGCTTGGTCCACTTCAGTGCTTTCCCTCAACCCCAGGCCCTTGGTCGGCAATAAAGTAATAAAGAACTGTACATTTTAATCATAAATAAGTGAAAGAGAGCTTAAATTAGTTTAATAAACTTGGCATACATTATCTCCGAGCCTAAAACATCTTGAATAAATAACAAAGCATTTGTACAAACTGGTTTTTCTATAAAAAGGCCACATTTCCATCCAGCACATTTTATTTGGCTGTGTTCCTTTCCTATAATAGGACAGAACTTCAAGAATTCCAAAGCAAATTTGTACTTTCGTATAAATTACTGTTTGGTGACTGTCATGCCTCCATAGATATTTTCTACCTGATTGTATAAAATACGGATAGCTTGAGATTAGCCAGAGAAATGATTCCAAGCAACCATGATGTATTTGCTTTTAAGCCAGTAGTACTTAAAAGGGGGATTCTGGGTCAACCTATAGCAGAATTAACTGTGGTGCCTGTTTTTGACAACCTACCAAGTTAAAATCAAATCAGTCCTGTATTTTGAAAAGGTATACTCGAGAAAATTTAACCTTTTTTGAGGTACTAAATTTCAATGAAGAGTTTGTCTCTTAAAATACAATTATGAGAAAGGATACCATAATACAGGCTCCTCACTTATGAGATGTTTTATGAAACCCGGATTAATATTTTAATAAGACTTCAGGAATGCAAATATTACAGGCTATAGCTTGAACAGTTGTAAATAGTGTGTTTGAGCAATCATGGTTTTTTAAAGGAGCTCTGAATTTACAGTGCAATCCTATGAGGAAAGAAGGGAGAGAAAATTGCTATTTTTAGCTGCACACAGATGAATTAATTGCATCACATCTGAGATTTGATAGTCCCTCTATTCTTGTTGAACAGGAAAACTGCATGATTAACTTGATGTTAAAAAAAAAAGATATACTTTAGGATGTCAGAGAATAATGAA